CTGAAAGGTTTAAGAGTAGTAGCACGCTCTTCAAATCAGAATCCACTGGCCTGGTTTCTAGATCAAGATAGAGTTTGAGTTTGCCGCTTTGAGTGATGGATGGGTCAGACAGGATTGCAGTTACAGGCCACCTTTGTTCAGTCAGTCAGCTAATCATTTAGTACTCCATCTTGTACTTGTGTCCTTAACAAGCTTGCGCTTAGATGATCATAAGTTGTTTTTTTTACCATAGAAGACATTTGTGCTTAATTTTGGTATATGTATGAAATAGAAGGGTAAAATGCAGTATAACCAGTAATACTTCATACCCCTGCTCCTTCGTATTTAAAAACAAATTGGCAAATAAAATGTACATAAATCTTTATGCATCTTTAAAGAGAAATTAATATACAAAATTCCAAAATAGGCTAAAGTTTACATGTCAGCTATGCATCCATTTTTGCATAAATATATAAAGGGATATATCTGTGGAAGCCTGACAAGTTTGCATACATTTGAAACATATGTGTGTGTGTGTATATATATATATATATATATATATATATATATACACATATATATATATACATACACACACACCCCTGTAAAGAGATCTCATTGTTATATTTCCTTCATTACAAAGTGAGTTTAATTTAGAATTCCTTATCTCTAGCCCTGTTAATAGCCTGGCCTTGTGTGTGATTAAGGGTTATCAGAGGAGGAGATAGGAATTTCTAAATGAACCTCTTTTTTTGTTAAAAGTCTAAATTACAGATACTCACAAAATGCAAAATAAACAAGACAACATCCTAAATTAATTAGCCTGAATTGAAGTTTGTCCGAGAGAGGATGATCGAGTATGTGCGCTCAAAGGAGAAGAAAAGGGTGGGGGGGAGGGGGGTGTTGGAAAGGCGGCCAACAAATAATTGAGGTTGAGCAGAGAGAGGCAGGTGCATCTGCAGTGTTTCCAACTATCTATGCCCAGCAGATTTGTTGTAGGTCATATTTCCTTTTTATAGTATTCAAACCATTAAGACCAAATTTTATTATACTTCGGAATATTACTGTTATTGAAAAAGAAAGCTTTTTCCATAATTCCTTGATGATTAATTTGAATTAAGATTTCAGTGACCTGAGTTGTTTGTAGACTTCCAATATCTAGATAGGCAGATCTTAACTGCCATTAGTATATTTATTGTGAGGCATTTTTGAGATTTCGTTAGACCATTAGTATTCATATGGAATAGAAAATTCTCAGGAGTCAATATTAGAATCTTTAAGTCTAGGTCATTAAAGAGAGATACCACAAAATCTTTTATCGGACTTAAATTAATACAGTCCCACCATATGTGTTTTAAAGTCCCAATTTCTCTATTACATCTCCAGCATTGGTCTGTATGTTGGGGCTTGTACTTACATAATCTAGAAGGGACTAAGTACTATCTATTTAGAATTTTGTAGAAGTTTTCTAAGATATTTAGAACTTTTACAACATTTTTTTCTTAACCAATTAGTTAAATCCAGATCTCTTATGTATAATTTCATTAATTCCAAGGGAGCTTTACACAAAATTTGAATTTGAACAAGAAAAAAAGTTTTCTTATCGAATCAATTGATTTGAACATTTGTGATATAATCCAATTATTTATTCCCAGATTTTTAAACATTTTATTATCAAGCCAAAAGAAAAAGGAGGGATCTATTCCAGCGCACTCTTCTTTCTCCAGTTTATACCATATTTTGCTTCTAGATTTCATGTTACCCCATTCCAAAAAAATGGGAGAACATGACTGAATTATGGATCAGCTGTATGTTGGGGAAGGACAACCCTCCCTCTCTTGAGTGTGTTATTATTTTCCTACTTATTCTTGGCTTTTTATCAAACCAAACAAAAGAATAGAATAATTTGTCAAACATTTTTAAGATTTTGTTTGGTACTCTTATTGGGATTGTTCGAAATAAATATTCAAGTTTCGGCATCAAATATGCCTTTATTGAATTTAGTCTACCCATCCAGGAGAGTGTTAAACTTTCCCATTTTTTAATATGATCCTTTAAATCTTTGTATAGTTTCAAATAATTTAAATTTACCCATAATTCTGGATCAAAATTTATTGTAGTACCAAGATAATTTATTGTTTGTGAGTCCCAATTGTATTTATATTTAAATTTGAGTGTATTTATCTGATTCTGAGTTAAATTTCTGTAAATTATTTGGGTTTTTTGTAGGTTTATTTTGTAATTTGAGAAATGGCTGAAATTGTCTATACACTTCATTACAGAGGGAATCAAAATTTCTGGATGAGTAAGGGTTAGTATTAGGTCATCTGCAAATAATGTTATTTTTGTTCGGTCTCACCTGTTGGTATTCCTGAAATAATTGTAGATTTCCTGATATATGCTGCAAGAGGTTCAATAGAAAGAACGTACATCATTGGGACCAAAGGGCACCCCTGACGTGTTCTGTTCCTAATATTGAACCAATGTGAATTGAAGCCATTTCCTAAAATTTTTGCTTTTGGAAAGGTATACAATGCCATGGCTAGATCTTTAAAGTTTCCTACAATGCCGAATGCTGTCATTGTTGCATCTAGGAATTGCCAATTGACTGTCAAAAGCTTTTATAGACAGCTGGTATGTTTCCCTTGATGATCTTTAAACTTAAATTAGCGATTTTCCGGAGATTATCGCCCCCTGGTCTTCCTTTTACAAATCCTGATTGATTGAGTAAAATCATTCCTGATTTACTGAATAACAATCTATTAGCTAAGATTTTAGATAATATTTTTATATCTAAGTTTATAAGAGATATTGGGCAATAATTTGTAATGAAATTTGTATCTTTCATTGGTTTGGGAATAGGTGTTATTGTAGCACTTAGTAACTAAGAAGAAATACTTTTTGTACAATTGAGTTCTCTAAACCATCTATATAGAAGAGGATATTGTAGGTTCAAATGTTTTAAAGAAAGAGGCAGTAAAGCCGTCTGGACCTGGTGCCTTTCCATTAACTAAGCCTTTAATAACTATTTGAATTTCTTCTAAAGATATATCCCTATTTAATTCTATTAATTTATCTGGATTGATTAAGGGAAGAGTAATATTACTAAAAAAGTACATTAAGTTCTTCTTTAGTAGCTTTACTTTCTGGTAAATTATATAGAGCTGAATAATAGTTTGTAAAGGCATTCCCAATTTGTTGAGGGGAAAGCAGGGTTTTAGTTCCTTCGATAATTGTTTATTGGATGTTTATTTCTTTCAGGTTTAAGTTTTTTTGACAGTATCTTCCCTACTCTATTACTATTACAATACCATTTCTGTTTACAAGACAGAATCATTTGTTTTACTCTATTTGTTGAATTGTTTTAATTTGAAGAGCTGATTCTATAGTAGAATTATTTTTATTAATTTGTTCAATTTTAGCTAATTTTATATATAGCTCTGAAAGTTCAGCACCATTTTTCTTTTTTCCCCCGGCTTCTAATTGGATTAGATTGCCTCTTGTTACACATTTGAATGTTGACCATAATATTTAATTGGAGACATTTCCTTTGTCGTTGAACTCAAGGAATTCCTTTATTAATAAATCTATACGATCACTATTCTCTTTGTTTAATAGAATCGTTTCATCGATCCTCCATTGATAGCTGGGTTTGTAAGACTGGTCTTTTGTTTTAACCTCAATTGAGGCATGATCTGAGCAGCTGATGGGGCCTATATTTGAGTCTATGAAATTGACCAAATTTGTAGAATCAGTTAGAAAAAAAAATCATTTCAAGAGTAGCCATGATAAATTTTAGTGATAAGTCTTTTTCACTTGGATGTTGAACTCGCCATATATCATAGAGATCGTATAGGTTTAAAATATCTTGCATCCAGTCTGCCCTTTTTTTTTTAATTTAATTTGTTTTATAATTTTTTTTTTTTACAAACTTTAGATGTTTTCCTATCCCATTTTTCGTTTAAGACAGTGTTCCAATCTCCTCCAATCAAAAGTATACCTTTTTTAATTTTATCAATCTTATCACATAGCTTTGTATAAAATTTTTGGGAAAACTCATTTGGAGCATATACATTTACTAAAGTAAAAATTCTGTCGTTTAATTTACATATTACTATCAGATATCTACTATTGGGATCTCTTTCTATGAATAATAATTCAGACTTGATTTTAACTGAACAAAATAGCTACTACCCCCTTTTTTTCCCCCTTCAGGTTAGCGCATAATACAATTGGATATTTAACAAATTTCCATTGGTCTTGGGCATTATCTTTCCAATGGGTTTCCTGTATAAAACATACATCGATATTATATTCTGTTAAATTCCTATACAGGATGCCTCTTTTTATAGGGTTATTCAACCCCTGGGCATTTATAGAAATTATTTTGATAGACATTAGTATAATATGTATGGGTTCCCACACACTACACCTGATCTGCTCAAACCTCGATGGCCGCAATCTTCCCTCCCCCTCCCTAGCGCGTCATATGACCTCTCAATGACAAACCCCAAGTGGTTGCACACAAGACAAAAAACATACACAATTAACATAAAAAGAAAAATCATCACTCCGCCTTCTATATAAACTATTTGGCGGTTCCCCTGGAATACATACATACAATTTGTCAGGGGTGTATTCAAACGCAGATGGCGATAAAGTTTATATTTTACAATAAGTTTCAACAAACTGGCAGTTTAGCCAGGTGACATTAAATTATATTGCCATTGCAGTTTATATTTGCCCATCACAGTGTTTAAGTGATTGGGTAAAAGACTTCAGTTAATTCTAGAAGTTTATAGTTTGGACCTACTTATATAGTGGTGTCTTATAGTCATGTAATGTTAAGTCTCATAGTTCCAATAAACATCTAGTGTAATAGATCACAATTTATTTTAAAGTTATATTAATTATAAGTATTTGTCGATTTTAATTTATAAGTGATTAAATTCTAAAGATTCCATGAAAGGTGTGTATAACACAGTTTCAAATTCCCTCAGTACAAACTACCCTTTCGCTTCCTTTTCTCTCACATTTAATCTCTGAACCTTTCTTTTCATGGAGGCTATGTGAGTCACAGCCTAGGATAACAGAAATTTTACTTACCATAATTTTTTTTTATTTTATTTTTTTAATATGGTGGCAGTACATGTGGGTTTTGCTCCTTCCCTGTGGACAAGCATCTAGCAAGATTAAGTTAACAAACCCCTCCCCCTTGCCCTATATAAGGGCTATCCTGCAAAACCTACCCCATTAAGTAGCAAGAAGAAACACAAAACTTAACCTAAAAATTATTTTATATAAATACAGAGAGGGTGGGAAGTTGTACTGCCACCATATTAAGAAAAAAATAATTTACGGTCATATGGTGGCAGTACATGTGGGATATAGCAAGATACCCCAAACGGGTGGGTCCAATGCTAACACAGTTCGCAAACTTTATGCCCAAAGGCAGTTTACGAGGATGAGAATATCTCAAGCCTGTAGAGAAGAAAGATGATGTGGAAAGGCAGCCCAAGATGCTGCCTTACAGACATCTACTGGAGAAACAAGAGCTCTACCCCCCTACCCCCCAGGGGCAGCCATTATCCTGAGTGAAAAGAGCCGTGAGAGATATCGGCACTTAAGGACCATTGGAAAAATATGCCAATCTACTGGCTTGTCTGAGTCAATTTAAACCAAAGTTTTTTGCAGGAAGCTCCGTACCCCTGGAATCTACACTGGAGGTTAACAAACAGCAGGCCAGAACACCTGAGCTCCTCAGTCCTAGGAAGAAAAACCTTGAAATGTTCCAAGAAAAAAACTCTAAGCTCCCGAAGAGAGGTGGGACAACCACCCAAGAGAAAGCAGACACAATCGGTTGACTTGTAGGAAAAAAATGAAGTTTTGTAAGGTGAAGAACCACCCTCTGCATAGCAATACTGCAAAAATCATCTGGGGAAGAAATTGCCTGAAGCTCACTGAATCTTTTAGCCGGTCTGACAGCCACCAAGAAGGTGACCTAGAGGAACGAAACCTGTAAGGGACACCTCTTCCAAAAGATCGAAAGAGGGACACAAAGAGCTGGAAAAATCAATGATAAACCCTAGGCAGGAAAAAAACATCTCTAGGAGGACATCTGGACCTGACAGATCACAACAAACCTATAGATTAACAAACGGATGCAAAATCTTTCCCAGTGAGTCTTAAGACTGAGGCTTGAACTTCAAAGCAGAAAGATCAAAGTCTGCAGAAAAAAAAACTTCCAGAAAAATTTGAAACATGGGTCTTAGAGATGGATGAACACGCGGGCAATGGTGTACCCACCATCAAAAAAGAAACTTGAAGTAGACCGAAAAAGCAGTCTAGTCTAATTTAACACAGCAGTAGCCAGGCCGTAAACCTGAACTTCTACAGAACCCTAGGTTAGATTCCTGTTTATTATGAGATTGTACGTTCCCACTGTGTGGAGGCCATCTTCTTGAATGTCAGGAACAAGAACCTTGTTTGGCCTAGAGTAGAATAAGAACCAGGATAAAGTTCTGACTGCCCTTATTTCCAAAGAATCCTTGGAAATAGTGTCAGCGGAAGAAAGACGTATGCCAGCCTGACATTACATTTCAATGAGAGTATCTCTATTCATCGAAGGGACCTGCTCTGAACAGGGAGGAAACTTGGGGAACCTGGCTTCTGTAATGCTTGCCCTAAGGGTCAAGTCTGGAAAAATCGAAGTTCCTCTCCAGAACACAAAACGACACATGGACCTCAGGAACAAACACTCTGATTCCAATTACCCCTGCCGAGCTTGACGGCTATGTAATTGTTGATCCCTCTGAAAAGAAAACTGCTGAAATATCTACTAGATATTTTTGCACCACAGCAAGATAACCGCCTACAGGCGATAAAGAGCACCTACTCTGATTCCTCCTTGCCGGTTGACGTATAAACCCATTGTACACAAGTCCATTTGAATCTATATGGCCTTCCGCTGCATCCACTGACTGGAGGGGTGAAGGCGGAAAGCATGGCTGAAACCACCGAAACTGAGGATTTTCCCTTAACCTAAACCTCGAAGTATGATGGAAACTAGATAAGCTCACCAAACAGTTTCAACAGCATCTGCAGTGAACTTCAGACGCAAGAAACAGGCCTCCTGAAACCAACTCTGAGGACTTACACCAAGAAAGTAGAGCTTTTACACAATGGTTTTTTTTCCTTCAATTTTTCCCATCTAGAGCCTCTACATTTCCAGACTAGGCTGATAGAATCTCCCATTTAGAGCCCACTAAAGGACTAAGCTCTGATGGAACAATATCTTTCAAATCCGGATCTGCTTCTACCAACTCTCTTACTCTATGGTTGGAAAAAGAAAACCAACAACCTGTTGGACTGACTAAGGAACTCCTTGAAAGTGAATAAGAATCCCTAGATGTCTGGTAGAATTGATGGCGTCAGACATGTCTACCTCTGTTCTGAACCCAAATTTATCTAAATTTTAGGTGCAGTATCAGCCGTCTATAATTGCAACCATAAAGTTACCAAACATAGACCTAAAGAGAAAACAAATTAATCATTCTTTGACAATCGCCAATTCAGGCACTAATGGAGCATGTGTTAATCCCGATCTCCAGGAATCATGTTCAGTATTGCGTTGAGCAAACAGGAGAGAAGAAAAAAAATATATAGCTCTGGTTATCGCAGCTCCCGCAAGTAAAGCTGTTTGATAGGATTCCTAGAAATAACCCAACATGTGGATACATATATAGAGGTGGCGACCTCACAGTAATTAATGTATAGAGCACATAGAGGATATATATACTGAGGTAGTAACCTCCTAGAACACATCCCCCTAGAGCATCTAGAGAATACCTATACTGAGGCTGTCTTCACAGAAACTCATACATAGAGCATATAGAGGATAGAATTACCGAGGTTGTGTCCTTATAGTAACCATTACATAGAGCATTATACTGAGGCTGTGTCCTCATAACTCCAACATAGAGTATATAGAAATCACATATACTGAAACCGAACCCTCATAGAAAGACATATATGGAGGATATATCATATAGCATAAAGTGGCTACATAGTAAGAGGCAGTGTTCTTCTAATAACTCATACATAGAGACTATAGTGGGTACATATACTGAGTCCACATGGTAACTCATACATAGCGCCTATGGTGGGAACATATACTGAAGTGGAGATCTCACAAACTCAACCTAGAGTATATAGTGGATACATCTACAGAGGTTGTGTCCTCTTAAAAACTCATACATAGAGCATGTAGTGGGTATATAGACTGAGTCTATATAGTAACTATACCTAGCGCATAAAGTGGATGCATATACTGAAGCTGAGTCCCTACATCAATGCGTCGTAGAGCATATAGTAGATACATATAGAGAGGCAGAGACCTCATAACTCTTACATAGAGCCTCTAGTGGATACATATACTGATGGCTGAGTTCTCACATTAACTCATCTATAGAGCCTATACAGAGGTTGAGTCCTCATGGTAACTCATACAAAGCTCACATCAACTCGTCATAGAGCATATGGAGGATACATATACAGAGGCTGTCCTCATAACTCCTACATAGAGCATCTAGTGTATACTCATACTGAGGCTGAGCCCTCCTAGTAACTCATACATAGAGCATATAGTGGATAAATAAAAAAATAAAAAAAATATATATATATATAAGCTGAGACCTCACAGGAATTCGTCAGAGCATATAACGGATACATATACTGCTCACAGCAACTCGTCATAGCTCACAGTAACTCATACATAGAGGTGGATATATATGGTGGAGATATAGATATATATATATATATATATATATATAGAAGCGGAGCCCTCACAGCAACTCGTCATAGCATAGAGGGTACATATACTGCTCACAGTCACTTGTCATAGAGCATATAAAGGGTACATATACTGCTCACAGTAACTCATACATAGAGCATATAGTGGATACATATAGAGCAACTGAGACCTCACAGCAATTCATCATAGAGCATATAGCGGATACATATACTGCTCACAGCAACTCGTCATATCTCACAGTAACTCATACATAGAGCATATAGTGGATATAGATATATAGATAGATATATATATATATATGCCGAGTCCTCACAGCAACTCGTCATCGCGTATAGTGGTTACATATACTGCTCACAGCCACTTGCCATAGCGCATATAGAGGGTACATATACTGCTCGCAGTAACTCATACATAGAGCATATAGTGGACACACACCGTGCCTCTTTGCAGGAGATATAAGCCCTATGTCCATAGGGTTAAAATGCCGAAACTCTTTTTATTACCATTATCCGCAAGGTTATAAACTTCTTTCCTCGTAGTCTTCATTTTTTTTCTTGTAACTTACATGTGTAAACTTTACAGAGATAATTTTAAAGTAAAGATTTGTTAATCTTACCTTAAAATACCTCTGAGCCGTGTGGGGGTTGGTGATACGGAGTACCTCTTCTGACAAGCATCCCTGCTGTCAGTGGGTACCTGCACAGCTTAGATTTTTGCGTTTTTTTTTTTTAATTTTTTTAAAGCTTTCGGTTTGCTCACGCGTACTAGCGCAACCGGAAGCTTAGGTGTAACGCAGCACCACCCGAGCGTGCGTTCCACCGCTGTGAACCGGATAAACTCTGCCTCCAGTAAGTATTGCCGGAACTCTTCTCGGCATAAAAGGAATCACATCTCCACTTGCTCCGTTACCTACCGGTCGAAAGCATGGTCTCTCAGCCTACCACCCGGGCAGCTCTCGGACCGGATCCCCCAGACCAGCAGCCTTTGTGTCTCACCATCTAGATGCTGTGTCCTTCCCTCTCGGGACAAGAAAGGAAACTGGGGTAGGTTTTGCCGGATAGCCCTTATATAGGGCAAGGGGGAGGGGTTTGTTAACTTAATCTTGTTAGATGCTTGTCCACAGGAAAGGAGCAAAACCCACATGTACTGCCACCGTACAAAGTTATTTAACTCCTAAATGGCAGATAATCAAGCATTGAGAATGCAGGGGCATGATCTATCCATCACAATTTCTATATTAAGCAAACATCCCTTTAACACTCCATTGTTTGATAAGGTTATACTTATTTGTACAGTCTATCTCCCTCTTATATGCAATGTACATATTTACAACCATGGCCAACTACAGAATACTTTGAGCTCTTTACAACTGGTCATGCCCCCTGTGCTTTATAGGTGTGCTTTATACAGTCACAGACAGAGATACACACTCAGAGATCCAGGCCAGTGGCATAGTGGCGTACTAAGGGGGTGGAGGAGAGATTTGCCCTAGGTAGCTATAGGTAAAAGGGTGCACACATACGCCAGGAGGTGAATAGCAGCTGAGTAGGTCTGCCCACAGGAATGGATTTTCCTCTGTTCAGTCACTGCTTTCAGAGCTGTGTGAGTGGAGAGGGTGCAGAATAACGCATCTTCATATCACTGCCCACTCTCAGCACCCAGCAGTGGAACTGCAATGAAGGGGCCAAGCAGAGGGAAAGACATTCAGAGTATTCAGGTGTCTATTCTTAAAAAAACAGTGTTCTTTTAATGTATGCTTTGTTAAAGCCTCAAGTAGGTGCTTTATCCTGTTTTGCATTATAGCTTAAAAAAAAAAAAAAAGTTCCCAGCATATGGTTTGAATCTCTTTTGCCTACCACTTATCACCAGATCTTATCTTCCACCAATCAAAAAACTGTTTACACCCATTCACATCACAGGTGCCTCACTCCAGGGCCCTATTTACCCTTGCAATGCAGAGTATCCAGGGAGGAAGTGTTTCCCAAGTAAGAGGATTAATCTCATAAGCAGGCATTAGGTTGCTAGAATAGGACCTGCCATAAACAGGGTTCAGTCCAGTGGCAGGCTTATGCAATGTATGACCATATACTGTAACTAGACCCCAATTATTTTTGCCTAGGTTAGGTGTTTTTAAAAACACCCCCCCCGCCCCACACAAAAAAAGCCATTACATTCTATGAGCTTTGTAACAGCAGTTTTGTGAGTGAGCTGGATCTTGTATATATAAACATCCAACTCTCTCACTAAATAGCAATTTCAAAGTTCACAGAATGTAATGGTTTAGTTATATAAAATGTGATGCCCTACTCTACTAGGTAGGCCTTCAAAGCTGGAGAATGCATGGCGGCAGATAAGAATCATTCGGCCCATCAAGTCTGTCCAAGGCTACATTTTCACTCCAATGGCTAGTGACAAGTAGAAAATTTAAGTCAGGTTCCTTTCTATTCTTTTAACCAAGTCAAAAGGAAACTGCCATTTACCATGAAAAATAAAAAAAAAATGATCAAACTAGCTCAATGCAGTCATTATGGTGCCAGGAGTGCCTTAGCTTAAGGGTTTAAACTGTTTTAGAACGGTTTAACCACGAGGTTAGGCGCCCCTATCACTGGCTGCCCACTGCAGGGAATAGTTTGGACTGAAAAAAAAAATAAGGAAAAACACTACATGGTTTAATAAATGGGTTAAAAAAAAAAAAAAAGGTCACCGTTAATGCCTCTGATGGGCTTTATAACCTTATTAAAGGGACACTAAGCACTCAGACCACTTCAACTCATTGAAATAGTCTGTGTACAGTGTCCCTATTGCACTTAATATTGCAATGTAAACATTGCAATTTCTCTGGATCTTCAATGTTCAACTAAGTCTGCCTCTGGTGGCTGTCTCACAGACAGCCACTGGAGGAGGTAATGAATTCTAACGGACCGCTGGTCTGGGAACAGAGGCTGTACACGTCCTCATGGTATGCAGGAGTACATCCAGAATCAGATTTTTGTTTCCCTCAGTAGGAAAGCATTTATTCAGTGCTTTCCTAAAAGTATGGTCTAATGTGCGTGCTGCATTTACCGTGCTTGCGCATTAGCGCTCACTCGTCGTAGGACGTCAGAGGAGGCAAAGCCACAACGATTTCCCTCAGCGCTGAGTTATGGTAAGTAAATAAAGTGTTAACACTTTACTCTTGTCGGTTGGGGGGGAGGGGCTGGGAACCTGTAAGACAGTATGCAAGTGCAATTTTCACTGATGTGATCTCTTTGACTACTCCCCTTTAATAGCCTGAAAACAGATAGTGAAAGTGGAGGAAAAAGGTTGCTGATCTGTTAGAGCTCATGTCTTTGATTAGCTACTTTTTTTTTTGACTATCACAAAAAAAAGAGAGAAAATGCAGCCCTCCCCTCCCCTCATAATAAAATAAAACTGTGAAATTGTGCCTATACATATACACACACAATTATATTTTAGTTATTGTTAACATTGAAAGACAATATGTTGCTTAATACTTTACATCGTGTATTGTATCCAAACGGAAATCTATTATTTTGACAGCACCCTTGCCGCCTTCCTTTTTCTTTTAAAGGATTCCATAATTAACTCTAACAATTCCAGAAGGGTCAGCAGAGCATAGCAAAGCACAGCTACACAAAGTCAGATCATGTAGTAAAGGTGAGCAAGCAAAGAGGCTAGATCTTTCTGATGTAACAATATTTGAAAGGTTCTATTCTCTAAAACCAATTTAAACACGTGAATTGTTGAAAGATTAAAAACCGCAGCCTGCTAATTACCCTCGGCTCTCATCTCTTATTCAGAACATGAATCATGTTCCATCACCATTAAGCTGCAGCCCATGAATTCTGGTCTAATTAGAAGCGGTAGAGATGGAGTTAGGACGCTGCGCCCGTCAGAACGAAGAGATGTCATTAAACAATCCTAAATTATTTATGGAAATTACTTTGCCCAATTGTAATTATTTCCTCTGTGTGAATACGGGTGTGAAACGGCGGAAGGAATGAGGAAGGCAGGAGCAAGCCTAGATCAGAAGGGTTTAATGGTAGAGAGCATATGGACTGCAATTGAGACAGGTAAATTATCAGTGCCATAACCCCCTCCCAACCAAAGGTAATAGGAGAAAGAGAAAGTTATTTGACAATAACTTCTGTGTCAATGATAAATCTGGTTGATTGTTTTAAAAAGGACAATTACTGGTGAATTTATGCTGCTATCAAAGTAAACATTAAATAATATAAGTTTGCAGTGAGAAAACAAAAACAAAACAAAAGAGACCACAACAAAACAAAAAAACCTTTTTCTATCTTTTTAGGTTTCCTTTATTTTTGTAAAGCCAAGAAATTTACCGACAGCTACTGCTCATCTTTAATAATAATATAGATCTGTATTTATATCATTACTGATTCCCAACACCGGCTGCTGCCTTATATACACGGGAAAAGAGTATAGGGGAAAAATATTGTATAAAATCTAAAATCAATCATGTTTTGCAGACGAGGAGAACAGCTGATGGAGGAGCCTATTGATCGATGTGACACAGACTTCTCTGCCAGCAGGGAAGGTACTAGCCATAGTTTTCAGTAATTTGGGCCTACAGCTGATTGGGCTGAGGGTTCTGCTGTCACTGGAAGGGTTAGAGGTCTAACCTGGTTTGCTAGATATGCATCTGATCAAACTACAAGACTTCTAGCAATTTCGGGCCCCAATTTCAGTAAAAAATTAAAATAAAATAATCACAGAAGGGCTTGCAGGTTGCACAATTCACGTCAATGGGTTGGCAGACCATCTATTAAATTTCATACCCATGCAATCTGATATGATTGTAGATGCCAATATGTAAATCATGGAATATAGCACAGCAAAACACTGTTTTTGTTAGGTGTAAGAACTATTAACATACCATGAAAAAGGTAACAAAAAAAAAAAAAAAACCCACAAAAACTAAATTGTAGACCCTGATCAGAAGCTGTAGCAAAGTGGCACGCAAACACTAACAATGCACTTACTGAACAGATATTTCTTTGAGGGCAAAGGTGATTTTTAATATATATATATATTTTATTGGATAAAAGGGGGCAGATTAAATCTCAAAACTGGAGGTCATCTTTAAAAACTGCAAACACATAACAGTGCAAGTAACTTAGTGAGATATATATATATATATATATATATATATATATTCACAGCAAAACTTTGGTACTCTGTTATGAATTGCATTTCCCAGTATGCAGAGCCAAAAGTTTTACCATCCCTGGTATAGAGTCTGCCCAATGGTCATGTGGGCAGGAATGTGTCAAGTTAAATGCAGGTTGTGTATTTGTTTACTCACAGGCATAAATCAGAAACCAGTCATACAAAAACCAGAAGAGCCCTATTACATACCCTGATGGCAGCCAGTCAATGTCTGCCTAAACCTGTCTGATACATAAAGGCAATAGTGCTCAAAACTGAGCAGGCTAGGTGTGACCCCAATTCTGGGGCCCCAACTCTCGCTTGAAAAGAGCTCGTCTGGAAGTTTATTTTATTCATTTATAAAAGGTATTCGTCAGACGTGGAGGATCAGGCTCTGTTTTAATGCAGTACTCCAATACATCCTCTTTCCTTTGTGCAGCTAAAAATCCTTCATATCCCACCAGTGATTTGGGTGGGTAGATAAAGCTTCTATTTGCTGAAGTTGGCAAAGTTTGCAAAGGCATCTTGTTTGGGAGGCACGGCACCTGGGGCTAATCCCATGGGCATCCCGATTGTGTTAGGCATTCCCATCATGCCCTGGTTCATCACAGGAGGGACTGCTACTCCAGACACACCCATGGTGCCAGTCATCATGCTGGGGATACCCATGCCTCCTGCCATAATGGGACTTGTTGGTTGTCGTATGGGCATCATGCCAGGGCTTGCGCTGATGTTCATACTTGCAAAACTCTGTGACATCATGCCAATAGGCTGTTGAACATCTATGGATAAAGGACAAAAACAATATATATCTTTACAGAATATTAGAATAAGTCTAACAAGAAGGTGGGGGCATATTTTTGGCAACCTTAAAAATATGTGGTGCCCCTTGTTTTATATTGTTATACAAACAAAGTTTAATGTCTATTTTTTTTTTTTACATTTCTACTATTTTATTGGGTTTTACAAAAGCATTTGGCATTTTAATAATACCTAAACACATGACAATACATTATTACAGCAAGTATTTGCTTCTGAACATTGAAATAGGATGTATACATTAATAATTGTATTATCACAGTTTAAGCTATGGCGTGGTGCATGGAATTAAATATCAGACAGACTTGTATATTGCACAGAAATACAAATTAAAACTAATAAGGAAATAAAAAACAAAAAAACAGTTAGGAGTTTGGCCAAAAAAATTGGTTTCAGGCTTAGGAGAGTTCAAATGAAAATTCTCAAGTAATACCTTAATGGGAATGCAGAATACTTAGGTGGCTTAGCTGCTCAAGGTGTGTAAATGGTCGCTAGATTGGAACCAAGGAAAGGGAGTCTAACAGGGCCCAGATGGACGGGTAATCTGTATAATGCAGCTTCATGGATGCCTTTGTTTCCTCCATGGATCTTATGTTCTCCACGCCTGTAACCCATCCTTCAATTGAGGAAATTTTACCTGTCCGTGAATGTAGTGGATTCATAACCTTTGCAGCATTTAACAAGTGTGGGAGGAGGCGGTGTTTATATTTTGAAGAGAGGTGGTGGTATAAGGCAAAAGATAAATTCTGGAGAGAATGGCACTCTAACATCAGTAACTGGACTAAGAAGAGCTGAGACCCTTTGTCAAACCCTTTGTCAAACGCATTGTCTTACTGCACTGCCACCATATGTGTGCAGCAATACACTCTTCTGCAGGCCCATGAGATACTAGGGAAAAAGCTGTGTAAAGCAATGGGAGTAATTGTGCCATCTGCCGAGTAGTTTATAATTAACTTGTTTCATACATCTGTTTATTTTTTAAGACACTTTACTTACAAAAATCAGACCAGAAAAATTCAATAACATGGACTCATAGCGGATTATTGGCACTGGGATATTCAGAATATACACATTATGGTAAAGTAATGACATCAAAATTTTTTGGAAACCACAAAACCAAAGGCAAGCAAGCATGACACACATGATGACCTATTAAAGCATGAGGTGGAAACACTCACTTTGCTGTTGCATCATGGCATTGAGCGTGGGCTGTGTGGGTTTATAGGGCTGCATGCCTGGAATGAGACTGTCTAGTGAGATGTTAACACTGGGATCCGACCAAGTGGAGGGCAACGATTTCCCTGTTCCTTTCAAGTCTAATCCTTGAGCAGGAAGTGTGTTTTGTTTCTGGAGACCCATATTCATTGCCTGTAAGGGCTAAAATAAAAAAACAAAGCTCTAATAATCTCGAACATATCTTAAGAGACCTAGAGTTTTAAAGATATTTTTATCTTTATCGGCTTTACTAACAAACAAGTACTTGAACACTTCACATAAAGTCCTGCTCATCAAGGCTGCCATGCATTTTTCATTCATATAGAACTAATCAGGGAGTAGGTGAATGCACTTAGTTTTCCTTGAATTTGATCAAAATTAACATTCAGTTTTAAAAATTGTCATCTGTTTTTCATCAGAAAAAAAAAAATGTAATGTCAGAAGATAGGCAATACTTTTAATATATTAAGTGCATCCTGTAATTTTTTTTAATTTTTTTAAACAATAAAACATTTCACAAAACAGGGAAATAAAGGTCAATTGTGCAATACATTAAAATTGTTCAAAGCATCTCTGGCACTCTACCTAGAAGAGAAAGATTAAAAGGGAAGGTAAAGGTCCTTAAAATTTAATACCAGACAACACACTTCAGGTTATATTACACAGAATGAGAAATATGAAACATGTATATTCACTGCAGTTGCCTACCTGAGATCTTGACATGGGCAATGACATCCCAGTACTGCTGGAGCTCATCATTGATAAATTCATACTCTGGGAGGTACTCATTGTGGAGTGTGTAGGGCCCATTAAATCAAAGAGATCAGCATTGTTGCTGTCAGCAGAAGGGGCATGAGGATGAGATGCCATAAACATGTCTGTACTGGTTTGAGAGACAACTCCAAACAAATCTGTTGATGGAACAGCAGGACTAGGCACGGATTGACTAAATGTTCCCCAATCACCAAATTCCCCATTACCGCTTGATGCTGGAGCTAAACAAAAGACAGAAGAACAAAGAAGAATTAAAAGAGGTGAAACTCTACTTACACAGAGATGTCAAGATTATATATATATATATATATATATATATATATATA